CCCCCCCCCCCCCCCTTGTTGTAGTAGGGTGATGCAGAACCGTGTCCGTCAACCACATGCTAGACCTCTTGCTATGGCTGCTATGGCCTAGTTTCTAGCCTGCGCCCTTTTTGACATGCTGGGTGGGGGCCTAAGGTTTCTTTTGAAGCAGAAACATGTGGCTTGCTGAAACACATTTCGAGGCCAGAAACTCAGAATTTGGCAGTGCCGAAGTACAAATTTCCCCAAGTATTATCGATCCTGCACTGCTTGAGAGTCGCTGGATGATTTCCCAGCGATGGTTCCCAGAAGCCAGTTAGCCATTGCCTGTAGGACAGGAAAGCTGGGCAATAAGCATTCTAAACAGGATCTCCCACACAGGCGCCATGACTTCGGGCATTGTTTCCCTGCTGGGTATCTTGGGGCCATCCCCAACCCCCGCCTTTGCTAGCAGTCCCTTCAAAGGGTAGTTGTGGACAGGGAAAGGCAAGTTCCAGAGGGTCTGCTCATAAATCACATGTCTCCGGCCCCGAGATATACAGTAGACCCTATACCCTGAACTAGCGCTTCAAGCCATGATGGCCAGGTAGTCCCATACAGCGGATGTTGAGCTTTGGAGTGGACCTTTGGCCGCTGCAAGTGAGTGCGCGTGATGTGGGCAGCAGCATGGCTTGGCAAAGCCTAAAATTGAGGTATACAGTGGTGGTTTGGAAGTACTTTTCATGTTAATTCCATGATAATTTTATCTAGAAACTGCAACAGCAACCCCTAGGCCTAAAGTGGAACCCTTAGATTCTGTACTTTGCGCCTTACATGAGTGTGCTCAGGTGAACCAGAACCTCTCCGACGCCGCACGGGGGGCCGTGCGACGGGACCCGATTCAACATCAACAGCTATGGGCTGCTTGGCCAAATTCTACAAGAATCAACAGCTGCTGAGGGATAAGCGTTTAGGCTGTAGGCTTTGAGGGCTATAGGGCCTTGGCGATAGAATGCAAGGTTGTCGGGGCAAGGGGGGGTGGGGCTTTTTGCAGTGTTTCTTTGGGATACAAACTTCCACGCACAGATCACGCAGAAATTCCAGAGGATGTCCTTGCATGGTCATATTGTGGGCGACGCGGGGGTACTGAAGGTCTGACAGGTATGGCGCTTTCACAAGTTGCCAAGAAGAACTTTAGGGTTTGCGTCTGTTCCGCAGATACATACTATGCTGGGAACAGTTTTAGGTGGTGGCTTTACCCCCTAGCACCCATCCCAGGTTCCAGATCATCGTCCATATGAATCTCCATTATGTGGGCGGGGTTTATCCTCAAACACTAAACTCCTAAACCCTGAAACCCTCTAATAAACTCTCAACCCCCGCATCCCTAAAGTCCCTCAAGCCCTAAATCCCTAAACCGCCTAAACCCTAAACCCTAAATCCCTATGGCGGAGTATCTGCGAAGTCCAGGCTCAGGGCCACGGGCAAGGCCATGCAGCTGCCTACGGCCCAGGACAGGGAGTCGACACCTGGAAGTTTAGCTTAGGGTTTAGAGTTTA